GCTGGCTTGCATCCATAGATGCTTCTCAAGCAAATCCCGGGATGTCATTCTCCCCTTGTACTCGGCCTTAGTGAGGCCGCAGCTGGAGTACTGCATCCAGTTTTGGGCTCCACAATTCAAAAAGGATGTGGAGAAGCTTGAGAGAGTCCAGAGAAGAGCCACGCACCTGATCAGAGGTCAGGGAAGCAGACCCTACGATGACAGGCTGAGAGCCCTGGGGCTCTTTAGCCTGGAAAAACGCAGGCTCAGGGGTGATCTGATGGCCACCTATAAGTTTATCAGGGGTGACCACCAGTATCTGGGGGAATGTTTGTTCACCAGAGCACCCCAAGGGATGACGAGGTCGAATGGTCACAAACTACTACAAGATCGTTTCAGGCTGGACATAAGGAAGAATTTCTTTACTTTACCCAAGGTTTGGAACAGCCTGCCACCGGAGGTGGTTCAAGCACCTTCATTGAACACCTTCAAGACGAAACTGGATGCTTATCTTGCTGGGATCCTATGACCCCAGCTGACTTCCTGCCCTTTGGGCAGGGGGCTGGACTCGATGATCTTCCGAGGTCCCTTCCAGCCCTAATGTCTATGAAATCTATGAAATCTATGAAATCTAAGAGTACAGCAACTCAAGTAGCCAAGCTACTAGGAAATAAATTTACATTATTAAATCTATGTATAGTGAATTCCCTTAGGTTAGGAAATTGAAAATTCTCTGACAGGAGCCTTAATAGTCTTGCCTTGCTTCTAACTGCTGATAGTGAACAAGTGGTAATTCTTAAGGGGACAGACACCTCAGAGGCAGTATTCTCGCTAAGCTGCGTGGTGTGTGTGGTTGCACAGGCACGCTCATGCTGCACTGCCAGGTGCACGTGCGTGGCCACGCAGCTTAGAGGGAATGCTGCTCAGTGGGTGCAAGTACACTAAGTAGCAATCTACCTCTCCACACCTAAACCATAATCAGTTCCCAGCTTAAATGAGTTTAGTAGTTGAATTTCTCCATAGAACATTGCTACTGACCTTATCTAAAACAATTAGACAAACTTGAAAACAGCCCAATACTGAAAAATGACAGATGAATGAGTAGATCTATGGAGGGAGTTTGGCACAGTTCCTACTGCTTTACTTGATTTAGACGCTATTACCAATGATTCTGTTTTTCCAACGTTAGAACCCAGTTCTCATGTCTGTTCTGCTTTCCTTGCATTACTTGAGTGGCTATGGGAGTGCAGAGTACTTGTAACTCCCCTGGGAGGATATCCAGCTCCTTTACTATCCCATTTATTGTGTAAGAAATAACAGGCATGTGGGTGTTCTGGATATGGGACAAGAAGAGTGGCTAGAATACAATGGATTCTAGCCATTGCACTCTGGCTAGTCTCACTTGGTAGATGGAGCTGTTGATGAGTGATGCAAGTTAGAGCGGCTTCGGCACTTTGCTTATGGTACTAGGTCTGAGTTCGGGAATGTGGGAGTAACCAGTGCTGTACCCCATAACTACTGCTTCCTGTAAGAAAGTAACAAAAAAAAAGCACCATATACATACCGGCTCCCGTAACTTCTGAACAACCATCCTTTGTAACACTGAACTTCCTTGAGGTTTCAATGACAGGACACAACATTGAAGGAAATCATAATATGCACATTTTCCATTGTTCTTAATGTCATATTTTGTTGTTATTTGGCTAAATTCTTCTTTACTTAAATCCAAATTGAACTTCTCCACTATAGCTAAAGAACCACAGACATATCAAACAAAGGTTAATTTACCATCCTTGCAAATAGCCTACTGTTGTCTTGGATTGACAAGTTATTAGGGATATGTTGACAGGCCATCAGTTTCAGTCTCTCATACATGTGTTATCTGGATCCTGCTGTAGGGAAGGGTGGAGGCAGACATTCACATTTAGCAGGATATTAGGTGAGTGATAAAACTTTAATGAATTTGAAAGACAGCACAAGAAATAATCACTAATATTACTTGAGCTGTAGTACTAAGCTACTAAGCCAATATATTCCCGCACCAATGAGTTTATATAGGATGATGGAGCAACAATCTTCAGCCTGTTATGTGCTGGTGCATTACTGGGAATGAAGAGACAAGAAATTTTTGTCTTAAAAATACACAGTAGAGTGAAACTTCCCTTACCTGGGAATGAAATTTTGGCCCTAGTGAAAGCAAAGGGATTTTTGTCGCTGATTCCAAGAAGGCCCGAATTTCACCTTACTTAAGAGGTTAGTAGGGGGCTGCTTGTACCTATCAGCACCATAAACAACTTTACTACTGAGGAGTGTGGGACCCATCCATTAAATATGCTGAGCTGTGTTGCAAACACTGGATAACACCATGTTCTTCTTCCTACAAAGTAGTAAAGTCTGAAGAGTGGCGCGTTCCTTTCCAGTCCATCTTAAACCATTCTGCACTGTAACACTAGAATGAAATCACTCTGGTTGTATCACTGTTACTACCTGGTAAGGGTGGGATTTTCTCATAGACTGACATCTAGAAAGAAACCAGAGCATTTTCTAGCATGAGTAGCCCATTTCAGGCAGCAACAAACCTGAGAAATCAGACCCTGGGATTTCTCCTAGCTGACTGACATCCTTTTCTTTGCATTCTTTCAATATTTCTCTCCAGGAATGCTGAATATTCTTTCTTATCTTATTCTCTATTGGTTCACAGTTCAGCAAAGGTGGGGACCATGCCACTGCTGTATGAGGTCGGCTGGATATTGGAGTCTGAAAGAAGCAGACAAAAGTGAATTCCCCCGAATGTTCATGCTTGTTTTGAAAAAACACCAAAAAACAAATCATATATCTAGTGTTCCAAAACTTTACCCCGAGATACTCTTTGATGTCCACTTCTTTATGACTTGATTTGTGTCTGCATTATTAGGATAGAATTACTGTTTCTTCCACTTCCACTACACAATAGAATAGACAGCCTCCCATTAAGACAGCATGGGGAGGAGCACTGAAGTCCTGTTCCCACAGAGATGGATTGGAAGAATACTGAATGCCTTCCACACTGCTCAACCACTTCTTCTTTTCTCATTTATGCTGCATAGAAGCTCTCCTCTACAACAGCAGGGATCATGACTGGGAAAAAGAAAATATAGCATGCTCCCCACTCAGCAGAATTTTATTAATCATTCTGAGAAGTTGGAGAGGTTTGAGCCTGGGTAAGCCCTTGACCTCATAGTCTAATGGTACCATGCAAACTGTGCTGATGTTCTTTATAGACACTAGATCTTTCCCACATTCTTGTGAATTTCAGGTTTACACCATACATCTTAACTGAGCCTCTCACACTCCTTTTATGAAAGCCCACTGGTCCTGATAGATGATGAAACTGTTCTGGGTCTATTTCTAGGCCATGCATTTTGGGAGGCCTGTGCTCCCCCTGTCCAAGTTTTTTTTCATCTCCTTATCTAACTCACATTGAGGCAAATGAGGAATTTTCCTTTGATTTCTGTGAGAGCTGGATCAAGTCCATAGGCTCAAAGAAAGCACACAATAAGTTGTTAGGACTCTCAAAAATAAGAATATACAGTTACTACGATAATCAAGATAGCAACAGGCCAATGTTATATCTGGCAAACTTGTTGCATTTTTAATCTATTCAATTTGTTACTGCTTTTTCAAGAACTACCCATCTCTAACTGGGAAAATGATCGCATTTTCCAAGCATTTAATAGTTTTAACCCTTGTATTTTCTTCTGATTTAAGCCTCTGGTAAGAAGAATATGCAACCAAACGGTTCAAATTAACAAGAGGAATATTTGTCAATTCTTTTAATTTTCCTCCTGTTCTGTTCTTCATTTTTTCCTGCTCTGAACTCTAGTGCTTGTGAAAGATGCTAAAGTGACAATACAAGAGGCTGAAGTGCTTTATGTTTTCAAAATATATTACCCTGCCCAGCTAGTAGGCTTCCAACCATGCTCAGAAACAGAACATTGAGGCAACTTAGTCTCTGTGGCCGTGTGTAGATGAAACGAGGGTCGTGTGTGCATGACACTTTAAAGCAGGCTAAATGCTTTTGCAGTGCTTTAATAGTGTCAGTGTTTGCACTCCTTGGCGGCGCATTGCACATTAATTCCAGATGCTGTAAGAAATTCAGCAGTGTAATGGCTCTTAAATGACTTGGGGCGCAGCTGTGAAGCAAAGCCCTGGGCTCTGTGCAGCTCAGGCGCCCTGCAGGAAGCCCTGCAGGCAGCCTGGCAGCAGCCTGGGAAGACAGGCTCCACCCAAGAGAGGGGGGAAAAAAAAGCGTTGAGCCTGATTTCCCTCCCCGCCGGAGCCTCCCTGCCTGCCTGCCTGACCTGTGCAGGGGCCCAGTGCTTCCCTCTGTGGCTGCTGTGCCTCCCAGGACAGCCCGAGCCAGGCGCCTGTGGGTGGGAGCCGCCTGGTGAGGGGCTGCTGCTGCCATGGAGGGAAGTACCAGCCCCCCCAACCTGCAGCCCAGGGACCTCTCCGCCCACTGGCAGCTCACCCTCCCCTCCCCACTGCCAGAGAGGCAGGGAAGTCAGTGTATGCAAGACACGGGGGGTTAATCGGCCCTAAATTGAAGTGGTGTTTTTAAAAACCCACCACTTCAATTTAGGGCCCCCATTTTGTCTACACACATGTGAATTCAGTCCTTGGACTCTTCATTTGCGTCTGCCCTTTAAGGCACAGGATTCTAACCATATGTAAATTGGCATAATTCCACTGACTTAGGTGAAACAAAATTAAATTACACTATCTGGCCCATCTTTTAACATTACAGATTTTCTGAAAATTGCTAAGCTTTTTATTAATGTAATTTAGGGTCCAGTTCAATTCTCAGTGAAATCAATAAGAACATCTGCATTGACTTGGATGCATATTAAATTAGACCCTTAAACATGAACATCCAGAAAGCTCCCTAAGTGAGCACCTACTTTGCTTCTACCAAAAGCTGAAGATGCTGTTTTGGGGCATGAAGGCTGAGAAGATAACTGTGACCCAGGCTCTGCAGGGGTACTACAGTTGGAGGCAGATGCAGGATTGTTTGCAACTGGAGTGTCTGATGGCATTGTCAGTGCTTCAGCATTGAATGTCTTCAAAAAGTCACAGTACTTTAATTTCCCATCAGCATTGACAGGCACTGTGTTCCAGAGGTTTTCAAACTAATGGAGAAGCAAAATACCATTTTTTGTAAATGCTAGCTTGGAAAAAAAATCTATTATGTACAGAGCACTAAAAAAATACTGAAAAGAAAGTGAGAAGATGACTTGGAATGGCAGGAATCCTAGGGCCTAATTTAATAAAAAAAATCACAGCTTCTCTGCAGAAGCCTACACAAAGCTGGGAAAGCAATGAAAAAGGGATTTCTGCAGGACATTTTTTAATTGAATTGGGCCCTTCGTGGGCTGTTTAAGACTACTAAACCTTGTGATTAGACACAGTGATTGAGCTACAGTATAAAAGAACATTTTAACATAAAATGTAAATCAGATGCATGCTATACCTGTATCCTGTCTAAGCACCAGTGAGTGAAGTTTCTCATTCTGTCAGGTGCACCTAAATTCTACAAACATCTCAACAGATCATTCAGATGTCCTCAGTTATTTTATCTTCATCAACAATTTATTTAACCCTCAGGGCAAAAATGTCTCATCTCAAAAGTTAAAAGAATGCAGTGGAAAAACTGCATAGACTTTGAAACCATATATGGTCATAATACCATGTCATGAACTGTATCAGTACAAAACAGACAGATAATTATGGAACAGCTGGGGCCAGATTCTGATACCCTACTTCTCTTGTTTGATATTTAAATGCTTACATTCAGTCTAATGTGACTTGCTATGTACCACTCAGCATTACTAATAATGATATTGGAATGTACCTCTCGGATGATTTATAGAATTGCAAGAAGGCCCAGATTAGGGTGATCTGACACCCACTGAACAGCACTTAATACAATAACAGCACTTAATCTCACTGAATTAAATGGGATTACTTATGATATAAATTACTAATCAATACGATCATCACAATTTGCCCATTAGTGAGCTGCACCCAACAGTTCTTTAAAAAAGAGCAGTGCTCCCTTTTAGGGTCCTCATTACTGATTTTTAAATATATATATATATATATATATATAATCAAAATGGGAACCTTAATCTGCTCTTGATTTGATCTTTTTTTTCAGCAGATATTTCAATTCTAAAGGAAGCTAGTCCCCTGTAAGGCTTTGATGCATGTGACAAGTTGTAGTCAAACTTCAAAGGGCAAGGATGTATTTTGAATTTCCCTTTCAACATTTCCCCCATTGGCCTGGCTGCTATCATTTTATTAATTTTATATATATTGTATTCACCAATAATGGTGGATAGCAATTAATAAAATGCTATCATTTTATTAATTGTATATATATATACTGTGTATATATATACACACTTTGCACTTCATCTAGGGATCTCAAAGTGCTTTACAAATGTCAATTAAACATGGCAATATCTTTAAAGATCTGTTAGCTATAGATAGTAGGGATGTGCGAAGCAGGCCATATTCAATACTGATTCAGATTTAGCCCGATTCAGGGGACAGTGATTCCATTAGCTGATTTGGATCACTGTCCTGATTCGATTCAGCCAAATCCAAATTTGAAGATTCAATTCTGATTCGGAGAATCAGCGATTTGCCCATAGACACAGTTTTTTCTACATACGTCAAGGTATCAGGCATGGCTCACAAACACTGAGATGGTGGGGCAAATGAGATGGAGTGTCCCACAGGAGCTGGGGGAGGGAAGCCCGCATGCTTGGCAGTGGACCCAGAAGTGGACTTGAAGTACTTCCAGTCCACTTCTGGGTCTGCTGCCAAGTGTGTGGGGAACCCCCATGCTTCCCCAGTTCAGCAACTGGCCATGGGGCAACCCTGGGTGCCCCCCCCAGGCCCAGGAGGCAGCAGTTGCCGAGCCTGGGGGTGATGGGGGGGTCCCCTACATGCTTTGCAGTGGACCTGGAAGTGGCCCGGGAGTACTTCTGGCCTCCAATTTTGGGTTTCCTGCGGAGCACGCAGGGGACCCCACCCTGCACTTCCGTGGGATGGTCCATCTGCCCCACTGCCTTAGCATTCATGAGCCGCACCTGGTACCTTGAGGTATGTAGAAAAACCATATAAAGCTGTGTCTATGGCCGAATCATCGAATCTCTCTGAATTGAATTGGAGGCTTCTGATTTGATTCAGAGAGATTAATGGGTCTTCTGATTCAATTCAGATTCAGAGATTTGCCTGCCAAATCGGGCTGAATCTCCCCCGAATCGAATCAGCAACTGAAGCTTTGCACAGCCCTAATAGATAGATCATTACAACCACCAATGAAGTGCAGCTGCTTTTGGGGTGGCATACAACAGCTTAGTTAAACAAGAGAAAAGTTTGCATTCAAGGAAAGATCTAGGGAGATTGAGGTAGATAGACTGGTACAATAAAAATGTAATTTGGAATTTGTTCAAGACATAGTGGCTAATGCTCCTACATATATATAGATAAAGTCTGGGACATCCAAGCCTTGACTCTTACATCTCCTCCAGAAGGATCAGACCATATGAAACTCACTTTCAGTAAGAAATACTTGATCTATAGTGTTCCATAGGTTCCAACTGAGCCTTTCTACTGTCAGGTAAAGGTGGGCATCATCCAGAAGAGGATACAGTTGACTTCCTTTGTGACTTCATCTGCTTCTGACCATTAACAATACCTTTGTAAAGACTTTGAACCATAACAACAGCATGGTCTACAAATTGGAAAGATCTCCCATGGCCCTGACATGCTTCTGAGAGGCCTATCAACATCAAACTGCCTCCTAGAGATACTGGATTTGAGTCACATTTACACAAACTTCCATTTAGGCATAAAAGAGCCTGTGTTTAAATGAGAATCAGGCCCACTTCTACTTCCACTTGTGCCTGGCAGCGAATCCATCTTGATTTTATTATTTTTATTCCTTCATATTGAGCTTCTTTCAGTATTAAACAGCTGCTACTCTCTCTTTGACTCTTTTCTATAAAGAGTGTGAAATCTAGCCTGGAGGATGTTTCAGCTGGAGATATGTGGCTTATTATTCCTAAAGATGGGAAAAAAATAATTCCCTAAGGTTGGGGGTTGCCAATTCTCCATCCTACCCCAGGCAAAGGCTCATCCTTTGTTGCAACACTGAATGTTTTTCATGGGATGGGAAGAAGAATGCTTCAGGTTTTTGCTAGGAAATATTCTCTCCAGGGAAAATGAATTGATGGATATATAACAAAACTATTAGGGAACAGGTTTTAAAATGAAAAAAGAAAGGGTTTTTTGTTTGTTTTTGTTTTTTGCTTTTTTACACAGCATGTAATAAGAACATAAAAGTGCCATACTGGGTCAGATCAATGGTCCATCTAGCTTAGTTTTCTGTCCCTGACAGTGGCAGGATTGGATGCTTTAGAGGGAGAGCATTGAACCAGATAGATCTAGAGTGAATTATCCCCTATTCATTACCCAAACTGGCATCTACCATTATTGGTTTAAAGATACCAAAGGAAACATCTCCAACCAAATTAACTTGTGGAACTCATTTCTGTAAGATGTTATTCATGCTGATAATTTAACCAGGTTCAAAAAAGGACCAGACAAATTCATCCAGGTTAGATGAGCAGCCTATGAACCACTGCTACAGGAGTTCCATGCCATCCCTTGATTATATCCCAAGCAATCGTCCCAGCATAAGAATGTGAGTTATCAGGACCATGGGCTGTGGACAAGTTTTCTGTTTTCATGGGGAGCATTATTATTAGCTGGAGAATAATCTACAAAACTATACATCCAAAAGAGTCACTTGTAGAGATAATGGACTGAATCCATAAGCCTTTGTGGGGGCGGGGGTTAAGACTATAAGAATTGCCATTCACTGGGTCAGATCTTTTCCGGTATTGTGTGTCACACAGGTTGCATTTACATGAGACGCTGATTGTGCAGTAGTCCATGACTACTGCACAGTAGCACTGTGTGGCAGGGAGCGTGATGCAACTCTACTGTGCAATAGTCACAAGCTACTGCGCAATCAGCATCACAAAAATGAAGTAAGACTGGTTACTGTACAGTCATTTAGCACTTGTTAATGCAAGTAATGACTGTTCGGTCAGCATCTCATGTTGATGTGGCCACAGTGGCAGAGCATGGACTGGATATGGCCAGGGTTTTTTTTTCCCATTGTTCCTCTCTCACTTGCAGCCTCCAGCATTTAGGGCACTGACAGATGTGAAGAAAAAAAAAACAACCAGCATTTTACCAGAACAGGCAGCACATTAGTTTGACACAGCTCCACAGCATCTGTATAGATCGGGCACTTCAGTAGGGATTCAATCAGCTATTAGATAAAAGTGCCAAAAAGCCCTGCTGAAGCACCCAATCTATACAGGTGTTGGGTAAGTTGGGTCCAACTAATGTGATGGGCACGTGCTGTGCTTGGTGTGGGGCACGCCAAGCTTAAAGTAAAGCACCGTTTTTTTCCCCCATGGCTGTAAGCAGCCTTAAGGTCTACAAAGTTCTGATTCAGAGGCTTTAGCCCTAGCTCCCACGCTCAATAGCTACTGATGTCCCTTTCTTCCAAGAATTTGTCCAATCCCTTTTTGAATCTGGCTAACCTGTCTGCTTCCACATCTTGTGGCAATGAATTCTACACCTGAAGTACACACTGTGTGCAAAAGAACTTACTTTTGTTAGTTTTAAGCTTACAATCCACTAGTTTCATTTTGTGACCATTAGTTCTTGTATTGTGCAAGATGGTAAACAATAAATCCTTATTTACTTTCCCTTTTGCACTTAGTATTTTGTAAACCCTTATCATGTACCCTCTCAAGTGTCTCTTTCTAAACTGAATAGGCTTAGCCTCTTCCATTTCTCTTCATATGGTAGCCCCTCCATACCACTAATAATCTTTACTGCCCTTCCCTGTTCCTTCTTTAGTTCTTCTATATCCTTTTTTGAGGTGTGGTGATCAGAACTTGGCACAGTATTCAAGGTATGGATGCACTGTGGATTTAAAAAGGAGCATGATGATATTTTCAGTTTTGTTTACAATTCCCTTCTTAATAATCCCTAACGTTTTGTTTGCCTTTTTGATAGCTTCATTTTACTCTGGTTTGTTAGTTTCCACATCTTTGATCTTTTCAGGAAGCCAAGAGGATCACAGAAGACAAAACCATCAGCTTGCTGAAGTTGGTGGACCTTTCCATAGAAGCTCAGTCAGACAGGAAGATTCCAACAAAGAAAATAAGAATCCTTAGGTAATGCTGCCAGACAACATGGTTGCATTTGTATGACAGACTGCTTATTTCTTAGTGAATGCTTAAGAGATTTGTGACTATTAAGTGCCTTTGACTCATTTGCAAAAACAGACTGGGCTGTCCAGACCAGGGGTTTTCAACCTTTTTTAGTCTAAGTACCCCGATGGCCAGATGCTGAGCAAGGGGTGGGGGTGGGGGGCAGTTAGCACACAACCAGATGCCAACTGGGGTGGTGGCAGTTAATGCATGGGTGAACATGGTGCCCCTCTGTGGAGTAGGGAAGCTCATCGGGCTGGTGTCGGTGGCCACTACATGTGAGCTTCCCTGCCCCACAGAATGGCTATGCTGCCCTCGCCCCACCCCGGACCTGCACCTGGGAGGCGGCAGCACTCAGTCCCCGCCCACCCACGCGTACCCCCTAGGACCAGTCCAAGTATCCCCAGGGATATGTGTACCCCTGGTTGACAGCCCCTAGTCCAGACTATTACAATTTGGGAACCAAAAAATTGCAAAGAACTTAGAACTGCATCTTTGGTTACAGTAAGTAAACTGTAGAGATATTTTTTTTAGCAAAAGGAAATCATTGTAGGAAGCACATATGTAGAATAACAGTCAGACTTGAAGGCTATAAAAATACATCTTGCACCTGAAACAGTATTCATGGAAGCAGTTAAAGAAGTCTTGGAAAACAAAGCCAAGAATGTGTTTGCTGAATGGCAAAATGTACAAAATCACAAATGCCCAAAGGACTTTACTGAGTGTTCTTTTGATTTGTATGCACAGGAATTAAATGGACCAAACAGGAGGCAAACACTTCAGTTGGATAATGTGATGATTTTGTCATCAGGGAATCAAAAGCAGGAAGGTCAGGAGGCTAAGATCTATAAAAGGGACTGGGATATAAACAGTCACCCTGGGTAGTAGAACCATGATAAGGGAATGAGTGGGGAGGGGAGGGGAGGGGAGAAGAGAGGGAAGGTGAGTGGTGCATCTCTATGACTATAATGGAACAGGAGGCAGGAATCCAGTCCGAAATCACTAGCTGCTTGCTCTCAACCCCCTGGTTATATCTGTGTGGGACTGGGATGTGGGCAAATACACCAAGCCACGCCATAACTTGGCTGTCAGAGGACAAGGGTGTGGGCTGGAGTCTGGAAACAGGAACCTAGAAGTCAATGGGCAGAACTAAGAACAAGGACAAAGCCAGAAAACCAACAAGCAGGACCCAGGAAACAGGAAACCAGGAACAAACAAGAAGGACTTAAGGACACTAGGAAAAAAACAGGTAGGATCCAGGGAATGGGAAAATAGGAACATGGAATCAGAGGCTAAAGTCACACACATTCAGGCAACTGAGGCCAGGTAGGTAGTTAGGCCATTGGCAGCCAGGCTCACTCAAGTAATCCGGGCCAGCTGGGGGCAATTTGGCTTGTCTGCTGTTCTGACAAGCAAAAATTCTGGAGTCATTGTTGCTCTGAAGATTCAATGTCATTGCTGTCACTTGCAAAGCAGAGCTACTGTGTTGTCTCCTCCATAGGGGCCAAAGCAAATTAGCTGATCAGGCTGAAGCAAAGCAAGAGAACTAGATTTGAGAAGCCCTTGTGCTCAAAAAGATGTACCCAGATTCTGCCTATAGAAGGCTTCTTCCATGCTGTCCCCATCTAGAGTTCATGGTCCAGGCTCTTCTGCACTGGTTCCCAATGTGGATATTTTTAATCCACACTAAGACTCCCATTTTTAGGGATCTTTTAGAAGTCCTCTTTTCACTAAACTACTAGTTCACTCCATACAAGGGGCTTAGTGCAGAATAACTACTGCACTCTAAATTCATACCCTCATTATTTTGCAATGCCTGCCTGTGATTTGCTAAGCAGAAAAGCTTTTGGGGAGCTTGCTGAGTTCACAAACAAACTCATGTAGCTTAAAAAATAATTCTGCACTAATGTGGTAATAAATATTTATGGATAATGGTCTCCAATAATTCTTGTTTTGTAAATTATTTGTCTATACACCGTAATATGCAAACACATTCCTACATCCTTTTTAGTGAGTTATGTACTTTAAAAAATATGCATTTCTTACTTGTTCATCAGTTAGAAGCATAAAATGCTGGTTACAAACCCTCCTGAAGTCCTCCTTTGATACTGTATTTTCTTTTGCACAATCAATATCTTTAAACTCTTGTGAAATGGTGTTAAAGCAAGCAGTCACTACTTCATGGACCTGGATAAGGATATCTTTCTTCGACACCTCCCAAGATTTAGACTAAATGATTTTCTGCCATTCCTCACTCTAGACAAAACATACACACAGAATCAGTGATGGATCCATTGAACAAACTTTTAAATCATGATGTAGCATTCAGCCAGCCACAGAGGGGAAG